GCCAGGCTGTTTTTGCTTCTATTTGTCCTTGTTGTATCAATTCTATGATCGAATACCACATTAAAGTCTCCTGCACACAGCACAGTCCCTTCAGATTCTGACATGACTGTAGTAAGTAGAGTCTTCACATTTTGTTGGTTGCTCTCAGGGGGAATATAGAGATTGATTAGTGTCACCGCCTCCCCTTCAAGTTTACCTCTTACAATAATGTATCTCCCCTCACTGTCCCGAATTTCTCTAGAACATTCAAAATTAACTGAATTTTTAATAAGTATTGCTACCTCCCTTTTACGACTTTTCTTGGAAGTACTATAGTAAGAATTTCTGTACCCAAATTTCTTTAATTTATCTTCCTGCGACAGATGTGTTTCCTGTAGATATATTGCATTGGCATTAAGCTTTCTCATTTTAAGTATCACTTTACTTCTTTTAATTGGGTTATTCATTCCATTGACATTCATTGACACCAGCGTTATATTCCTCATCTTTTCACTGTTAAGTTTTGTTTTATTTTTGGCTTATTACTATTATAGCATCCCACACTAACTCTAAGAACTTGGAACAAGATAACAAGAAACTTAAGAGAAACTGAAAATACGTATTTCTTACCCACAGTGTCCCTGTGGTTCGTGGGGTATATCCCTTTCAGATTAGGGGCCCCTGTGAGATCCAACCTAGGTTCCTTAAAAAAAGGAAAAAAAAGAAAAAAGAAAACCTACCACTTTCCGGTCTACCTTGCCTTGAAAAGCAACAGAGTAATGAACCTTTAGTTTCTGAATTCTACTCTTCAATCATTTCCACCGGATTCAAATGTTTGTATCCTCACTTATAAGTTCTCGGTGTTAGATCGCTGCTATCCTGATGCGTTTTGCAGTCGCTCCTCCAGCATCGCGCTTTCCCCGCTCCGCTGCGGCACCTTCACCTGTATTCCTCTCCTCCTTAGCTCCTCCTCCGCCGCCCGGCCGCTGTCGTAGGTCCTGACGCCGCTCTCCCAGTGGATCCTGATTCTGGTCAGAGGCGTCTGGAAGCGATTCCTCTCTCTTTTAAGGCTTTCTTAATTCCAGCGTATTCCTTCCTCTTTTGAACCATGTCGGCAGCGTAGTCATGATCAAAGAAAAGCTGCTTATCCTGATGTACAACTTTTTTCTTCCACGCTGCCTTCAGCACCATCTCCTTGGTTGAGAA